CTGCTTAGATCTCCAACAGGCTTCTCAGATAGTTTTATGGGAAGTGCAGATAAGGAAATACTTTGCATTCCCCTAAAGAGCCAGAGTTTCACTTTGCCTCAGGTCGGGTTGGTCAGGTAACTGAAAGGATTAAAATGGTTGACCCTTCACAAAGACAGAAAGATTAAGACAATCTACAATCATATGATTCTATATAACCCTGCTTAACTGAAATGAATACAAACAATTGTTTACCGGAGCAGGTACATAAATAATAGTTTGGGCCTGCTGGAGACAATATGCAGAGACTTTTGGTCTCAGGGTAGCCATGTGTCCTACTTTACAGAGGGCATTCCCCTATTTGAAAGAACCTCTATGTGAGGGATGATCCTATCAGAATCAGAAATTGTCCAGCAACAGCTAACACCTGGACAGCCGATGGAGCAGGATGATGCAGGAGCGTAGTCTTTCCCACTATGCTGAGATGTATGACATATTTCTGTCTATTAGGGAAGAAGCTCTAAATGTGCATCAATACATAGTCATTAGCAAGTTCCGGCCTTCTTTGATCTTTGTTTTTGGTAATACATAAATGGCCATCTCATTAGTTCACAAATCAGAATTTGGAAAGACTGGCATCCATATTCACCTTTAGTAGGACCCATTTTTAAAAAATCATTAAGGAGCACACAAGGGATTTGGTACGTCATCACCCTGATGTGCCACCACAGGCAATGGGAATGGGGGAAAGCAAAAACAGCAGCTTCTTTCCCCCTCAACAGCCTCCTTCAACCTGGTGCTCTCCATGGATATTGAACCTGAATTCCCAGCATTCCCCTACCAGTGATCAGCAATCGTAGTTCAATGCATCTGGAGAGTGGGAGGTTGAAGACCATCCTACAACAAGTAGTCATGCAAAGATGGGTGGGTGACACTATAGCTACCAGTATGGGGCCAGGCACTGAGGATTCAAATGGTAGCTAAGGAAGCTCAATTAGCCACTGTGTAGCCATGATGACAAGGCCATGACTAAGCCACCTCAGAACTGCACATGACTCATCAGGAGCGGAGAGGCCTCTGGATCTTTGGAAATGTGTGGTTTGCAGCACTTATCTTGAAAGGCTGTAGTGGAGCTGATAGCTGTGTTTACTCTTTATTGGCAGCACAGTGTGGAAAGGGGAAGATTTATGGTGTCTTTAATCTCTGTCTCTCCACATATGAGGGTGTAGGGAAGACGTTCTCTAAGCCGGGGTGGTGGGACTAATTTATATTTTCTCTTCTCTAGATTATCACTAATACCTTGGAGAATAATAGATACTCTGCAGAGAGGTGCAACACTGCCACCTTAAGATCAGAGATGAAATGTTGGGAAAACTGAAATGTGTTTATCTCTTTTAGTATAGCTACAGTAAACTATACCCAGAAGCATCTTACAATAAACATTACTTTATCAAAAGACACCATACAAAAGAAAGAAAGAGTTCATTTGCTACAGAGCATCAGATTAAAAATTCCTTTGAATCAGACCACTCTGGGTGTGTTCACCCATCACAGTAAGGCACCCATTGAAAAGTCATGGTGGGTTGGTTGTTTGCTAAACAGGCCATGGCATGCTGGACAAAGGATGGGATTTTCCATGAGTAGTTCTCCTTCCACCTCTGTCCTCCAGCCAGCTCCAGCGTGATCCTAGTGTCCTTTTGGCAGAACCTGTCCTCTCCCCTCCTCCCTACTCCAAGTATAACCCCTTTCACTTTGGGTTTTTTTTTTTAATTTTAGGGTCTTGAAAAAATACCCCTGGGATAATTTTTAAATTTATTTTTCAGCCCCTAAAAATTACACAGATGTGTTCATAATTTGTAAATATTTTTTGTCAGTCTTTTGTAAGTGCTCCTTTATGGCTGTCTGATACGAATAGTCTCACCTGGTCAATTTCCCTTCTGTTTCTTCTGCTGGAGGGACTGATTAAGTGTAGTAGGTAACAAACAATGAAAGTGACAAGGTGAGCCTGCATATAAACTAATCTGTGTACAGTTGCCTAACTGTCAGTTGAAAAGTACTGGGAAAGGGCAGGGGGAGTGGGAAAAGAAGGTGCATCGAAAGTTGGGGACAATATCCACCCCTTAGTAATGTAATCCTCTTGATTTTAAGTGCTGAACTGAAAATTCTTAGTACCCTCACCTTTTCAGTACTTCCCTGAGTCTCCAGAAAGGGAAGACTTAAGACCTGTCTTAAAGGGAAGACCAGCCCGCACTTTTTGCAGCTCCTTTGCAGAGCACATATTGTTGAACTTACTATGGTTCTGTGACAGTTAAGCTCAAACTCAAAAAACAGAAATGTATGCAAATGTAATGGTTGGGTGGCACATGGAGGAGAAATATGTGCAAATTTAAGGCTGAGAAGTAACTGAAGGGAATTGTGCTCAACTGCATGAACTGTAGTGTTACTGTGCAGGTGCATATGTTTCCCCTCCATTTACTTCCCCACCCTTAAATGTATTCACATTTCTCTTCTATTTATTAATCAGTCCAAAATGTGCAAATATTTCCAACAGCAGTTGATATTACTTTAAAGATAAACTTTAGAGGATGGCAGAAAAGGATGGAGCAAATGGGGCACCAGCTGTACTTATACCAGCCTCCCGCCCCATGGGGTGCCATTCACTTCATCCCATGCATTGTCCTTCTTAGGGTCTGGAAAACACACACACACACACACACACTAAGGAAATGCACAGCAGCCATTACAAGCTCCAGAAAGTAGGTTAATATCTCCCCTTTCTGGAGTGGGTGGAGATTTGGGGAAATACTGAAACTAAGAATTGTCAGTCTAGCTCTCAAAGCTGAGAGGACATTATTACCAAAGGGAAGGTACTGTCTCCCCAGCCAACCATTCTCCTTTTTAAGAGCTGAAATGAGACAAGAAATTGAGCAGGCAAGACTACAGATATTGAACAGCCAAACAGCACGCTTGTGTACTTCCAGAAGCCCAACCACAATAAACATACTACCCCAATTGTGCATTTCCATGGCACCAAAACAAAAATTAAAGATAAAAAGCCACGGAACGGTGCTGAATGTTTCAGAGTGCCATCTTCGCTTCACTAGAAGGGCAGTCACTGGTGAGATCACAAAAAACTAGCAACATGGGCTTTTCTGTCACTCTTGGTGATTGCCACGACCCATGACTTCTGCATTTGGGTAGCACAGCAGCCCATCACAGGCAAGAACAAGTGCACAACAAGCCATGGGTTCTTGTAGGGTTTGTTATCCAAAATTGTTCCTTGTCTCCCCAAGGAAAATATTCAGTGTTTGGACAACTCACAGTGCACTATGGCTGACTCCCATAGTGGGCAGCCATGTTGTACAAAACAGGTTATCTGTTTACTAGTCTGCTGCATTTAAAGAAGTGTTAAATTTCTTTTCAGCCGGGGGCTGAATTCCATCGCAGAGATGTTCTGAGGTGAAGGGGCACATTCCACTAGCGGCAGGGCCAAAATGCCAAAAATACCAGCATGTTCTGGTGTAACACTTTTACTGTAAGTAACTGGATCTTAGGAGACGGATTGCAAAACTGTGAAGCCAGCAAAATAAGCAAAGGCCGGACAATGGGGATATCTAGGCAGGCCAGATTTGGCCTCCAGGCAGGGGTATGCACTTACAGGGACAAGAGAATGGCACTGCCTCCCCACTCCCAATTCCAGTCATGGTGTCATTCTGCGAGCAAAAGCAGTGGCTTTCGTGCTGTGCCTATCCTGACTATCTCTACTTCCAGCGACATGGACAAGACTGAGGACAGGCTAGAAGGCCACTAGTTAAACTGAGCAGGGGGGTACCCTTGCTAGCCATGCCATGGGAGCACCTTTCTGGGAAAGCCAGCCAAATAGTGCTGCTCAAAGTCAGCACCCTCTAGTTCTACCTTGTCACTGAATTTTGGAATCAGCAATCCATGAGAAATTTTTTACTCACCTGAAATCCATATATTAAATAGCACTTGTTTGAAAGAAGCAGAATGTTCTGCTTTTTGCCTCTGCCTTTCCTTCTGACCTAAATGGTTTCTTCTCCCAAAACTAAATGACATACTCTATGAGTATAGATAATCTAGTTTATAATATGAACTATAAACGAGAGGGTGAAATCTGAGCCATACTTATTTCCAAGGTAAAGCAAGTAGAAGAGGAGTTTGATACTGTATGGAAAATGCACCCTATTACCTGGAAGCAGTTCTTCCTAATACTAAATGCATAGGTTGTGATTAGGCAGCCTCTATTCATATCCCATATCATAAGAGGGCAAGACTCACTGGAGAAGACCACTAGGCAAGGGAAAGTCGAAGGCAGATAGGCCATTTTACAGGGCTTTTATTCATATGGTCATCATAAGTCATGACTTGATGGCACATAACAACAACAATTCATGTCCAGAAACTGTATTATTTATTTCACTAATTCCAGATCTATGAATAAATTTTGGAATGCTTGCCTTATGATAACTACAAGAGTAGTAGAACTCATCTGCTGCAGCAAAACAACAAAAACAAAGGAATTTCATGGCAGCTTGTAGACTAACAAATGCATTTTGATATAAACCTTTCATGAAAACGTGTGTCCTAATACCTTTGTTAGCCTGCTAGCTTTCAACCTGCCACAGTATTCTGTTCCTTTCTCGTTATGATCTGCTACCAAGGGGGGGGCAACTGGAAACCATCCTTAAACCTTTCTGAGCCCTGTCGTCTGACAACCTTCGGTAGGGAGAGAAAAAGGAAGACCCACGAAATACGACCCTCATCCGCCACTGCTGCTCAAGCGGAGAAACCAAGCGGCAACGAAAGGCAGAGACGGCCGCTTCGCCAGGGGGCGCTGAGAGTCTCAGCTGCAGACTCTACGCGGCGGCGTCAGCGCCGGCCCTTTGCGTGCCGCGTCGCGCGCCCGGCCGCTGCGCGGAAGCGGCTTGTGGGCGACTCCAAGTGTGCGTCTCAGTGCACGTGACTCCTGCAGCTCCGCCCCCTGCCGGAGCGCGGCGGCTGCGGTATTGGCGGTTGTTGAGGGAGGTCGTGGAGCTGGTGAGGGGAAGCGGGTGAACGCGGCAGCTTCAGCCCAGTGGCGGCGGCGTTGGCGTTGGCGGCGGCGGCAGCAGCAGATCCAGCCTCAGTTTCCTTGGCCTCCGCGCTCTGCCCCTTCAGGATGTCTTCTCTGCCAGACGCGGCCGCCGGCGACGAGCGGAAGCAGGCGAAGGAGATGGAGGACGCTGAGAAATACTCCTTCATGTCCACGCTCACCAAGGCGCCCAAGAAGGTGCGGGCCGGTGGCCGGAGCAGTAAACTCGGGGCACTCTGTGGGCCGGAGAAGGACTCGGCTCGGGTCCTGAAATAAGCGGTGCCCGGGATGAGTCAAGCACCCCTGAAAGTCATGCCCTCTGCATGGGAAAGCCCTTCCCCTTGACCCCTGAGGGGGGAGTGGGCTTGTGGCTAGGGAGAAGGGGGAGCACTCTGCACATGCCCGCGGGAACTCTTTTCTCTGTTGGACTCATGCGTGTCCTCCAGCTGAGACATGAGTACGAAAAGGGATTCTGGGTGGAGGGGTACAGGAAGGAAGGAACAACAAGAGGAGCGGCCCGGCAGTGGGGCGGGGGGGGGGCAATTAGAAAGAAGTAAGAGTTTCAGGAGGAGATGCTGTAGAGGAGACTGGAGCTACTCTGGAGTTCTGCCTGGGGGCTGCCTTGACTCCTGAAAGCCTCAGGCAGACAGGTGTCACAGCTGAAAGGGAAAGGCTTTTAGAACTTTGCATGTCAGGCCCAGGTGTTCGTGTGGATATCTTTCCAGCAGCTTAACGATTGACTAGCTCTTAGAAATATTTTCCTATCACCGTTACTCCCCATGGAAGGCGTTTCTGCCCAGTAAGGGGACAAGATTTACTCAATCACTGTACTGGAATTGCAAGTCTGCAGTGCTAGGTGTTTGGGGTGCCCCTCCATGCACACATTTGGTTAGAAACAATATGTGTGGGTGGTCTAAGTGGTGGACTCCCCTGTGTCAGAGGTCCCCTGAGAGGGAAGTGCTCTCTCTTCCCATTGATACTGCATGGTCTGACCTAAGACTGTGTGCACCTGCTTTGTTCCTGCTGTGGCTGTTATGCAAGCTATTAATGGATTGTAGGTTATTCCATAGTAACATCTACGCCACCTCTCTTTTACAAACCATTTCTGTGCTTCTGTGTTATCACTATTAGCATAGTAATAGGGGATTGATGTATTCACTCCTGTACGAATCTCCACATGGGCTTCTTGCTGGACTTTATCCAAACCTCAGATAGAGGTTGGGGCTCCTGTACTACCAGGGGCATGCTTTTGAGCAAATTTTAGTTCTTCAGTGAGCATTCCTGTCCAGAGATTACCACAAAATACCCTGATGCCTCAAGTAATGGCTGTTCACTAATAGGCAGTGATTACTGTTCCTTTGTCCTCCTACATAGTTGAGGATTTTCAAAATTTGTCCTCCTACAGCCTCCCTAATAGTTGTTGCTGTTAGTGGAGCAGAATGGTGAATGCTGTTGATTTGTGCACAGATAGGAACAGCCAAAATTATCAGTTTAGATTTTATCTGGGTTGTCTTCTTGTACTGAATCCTGTATCCTTCCCAAGTCTATTTTGCATGGTTCTTAGTTTAAACCTGAACAGGAGACAGGACAAAAAATCCAGAATCAGTGGAAGTTTTCTTGGGTAAATGAGCATTTCCCCATTGATAACTGAACTGACAAGGAGTTGAATTTGCTAGTAGGTTATTTTCTTTAAAGTTATATTTGAAAGTTTTTGTCCAGTTTTCAAGAAGATGTCTTTGTGCTGGTAATTGAGGAACATTGAGCCATTTGTGCATTCAGGCAGTAAATGAAATGGATTGTTGGGCCAGGTTTGGTGCCCAGGGGTTACATTGTACAACATTTCAACCTAAAAAACATTAACTTCACCAGAATGTGATGCCAATCTATGAATTTCACTTCAAGCAAACAGTAGCACTTGAAAAATGAGGGAGGGGATCCCTTTTGGTTTTGGTAAGCTCTTTGAAAGATTAATTACAGGAATACAATAACAAAAGTATACTATTGCCTTGCTGTGCTCATGGGCTTTGGCAACAGGTACCTTTTTCTTCCCATAACCCTGCTACCAAAAAAGCAGGTACCCCAGAAACACAAATATCCCTGGAAAGGATTCCTTAGTTTGTGTTATGGGGGAAGTAAGGGACAGAACTTTGGCTGCATTGAGGTCTCTTAATGGGCCTGTTAGGAGCATTCAACCTTAATGTTTGACACCTCTAAACAAGCAGGGGCACCTTGTTTTAAGGTGCAGAAGAGTTTAGGTGCTATTATTTTTTGTTTATTAACAGCTTGGGGAGAAAATCCTGCCTGCCTACAAATCTTACATCCTTGGAGCTTGTATTTCTTTTGGGTGAAAAGGCTCTTCTGTGATTGTGGTTTGAAAAAAAGGTGTTTTCTATGTTTGAGGCCAGATATATACAAAAAGAGAAGAAGACTTGTAATTCTTTGGTGCTATGTAGTACCTCTTGAGTATTTCTGCGACCTTGTACCTTTGTACTGGACATATAAAGAGAATAATTTCTGGAACACCTTTTCCCTGATATCCATTTATGGAGGAGGCATAAAATCCAATCTTGTGGGCACCCATTTTTCAACTTGTCTTTAAAAAACAAACAGATTTGCAAATTGAGTGCAAATAATGTGTAAACTCTTGTCCATTTGTAGTTATTGTCATTGGTATATTACCCTCAGTTTGCACCCATAGTTGCATAGAAAACCCGACAGTAATATACCAATGACATCAATATCATAGGTACATGATATGATATACAGTATGTATGGGGAAGCTTTGGAGTACAGCAGAGGGAGACTTCCAGAGATTTCTTTTTTAAATGTAATTAATTGGCTTTTTCTTTAAGTTACGTTAAGTTTTCAGCTTGTTTCTAACTTATATGTGGTCAGTTGTACTATTTGTGAAGGCTTCTAGAACAGCTTGATTATACTGTTGCTGAGAGAAATATAGGAGGCACAGGTAGTATCTAAAACCCAAAACTGAATAGATACATGTTAAAAGATCCGTATTAATGGACACAAATCAATTGTCAAGATACCATTTTTTCATATGTTCAATTTTTCCATTCTACTGTTAATAGTGGAATTGCCTTAACAAGACATCCTTACATATGTTTTAAAATAGAACTATAGAGGATTGTACCTCAAACATGTTTTGGTGTGTGAATATGTGGGGAGGGGGTTGCCTGAACTGCCATCTGTGCAACTGTGCAGGACTGTATATGTGAACTTCATCTCTCCTTTCTCTGCTTTATAATTTGAGGCAAGGTTTGGTACAACTCATATCAGAAATGTCTTACTGCCCAAGTTCAGACCAAGAATATGTGTAATAACAGACCTTTGTAAATTTTGTTCATTTAGTAACCAGTCTTGCTTAGCCCTTAAACTGCTGATGTGTTGAGTGGGCTTTTTCCGCTACCTGACAGGTGAGACTGAGGCACATATGGGGTTAAATAATCATGGTTAAATAACCATGACCAGTTATAGCATTGGAACCAGTTAGCATTTAATGTAGCTACAGGTATGTGCTATAACTTCTGCAAATGCAAACACCTAAATTTTACCTTTTACTGTAGCTGAGTCTCAAGTCAAAGAAAAAGCAAAATAAAAGACCTCAGTTGCAGAGCACAAGCAGTATGGTAACTTTATCAGTTTCACTCGATTCTGATCAGACATGAAGAGGGTACAGTTAGGGAAACATCTTGCAAATGGTTTACATGAAGTGTCTGGTTTGAATGTTGTTTTGTAATTGATGAGTGTTCAATCAGTTTCAAATGACTGAATTCAGTGGGTTCCATTTTTAGGGCACAGTCCTACAGCAATAGTCATTACCCCTGAAATTGGAAGCATATGATGATCCAATGCAGAGCAGGAGGAGTGGCAGAGGATTTTTTTTTTTTTTTGCCTGTCTTTCTTACCTGTCTCAGAAGGAGGAGGAAAGAAGGCTAGAGCAGCTTCAGGATATCACTTATTCTGGCTTCTCCAGTCTCCTCCATACTCCCTGAAACATCCCATTTCCATCTCTCTGAGGTTGCTTTTCTGACCTTGGAGATGTTAGCGTGGTTTCTTTCTCCACTGTCTGCAAGGGTGTAGCTGGGCAGGGGAGTGGAACTCTGATTTCCATGTCTAAGGTCAGAGTGCTGGATTCTTTGGGTGCATTTTAATGACCATAGTATTGCTCCCTTAAAGGATTAGACTCTTGCTGCTGTAGACTGTGGTGCAAATCAAGCCTTCTTGTGTAATCTATAGACAGTTTCTAGCCACTAGTAGTGACTAGGCTTTTGTGATAGGCCTGCCCTAAAGACATTATTGGAAAATCTCTGTGTGTTAACTGTCAAAACTGTACACATGTAAGTATATGCACATTGTCTTTAAGAAGGAAATTTTAAATATCCTTTCTCTTGTAATGTTCCCTGCCAAATCAAAAAATGCAGTATACAGAGTGTTTCATGGGCTAATTTGTCAGATACTTCATTCCCCTGCTGGTTTTCTGGCATCCAGCAGGCAGATTCCTGGTACTTTGGTTATGGAATGCTGTGGGGTGAAAATTATATTGTTTTCCTGAACACTGACATACTTTACTTAATAAGTTCTTAGGATGTACTTGATAAACATGTGATGTTTATATTCTATAATGTATGTTTTTAATATGATCACTTGCTGTGGGGAACTCTTACTTAACTCAGCATCCTGAAGTGTGTTGTCCATTGTCTAAACATATGTTAGTGCATTGTCCAAACATAATAAATGAAATAATCTACCTTCAAAGGTTGCCACACAGTCCAAGGGGTGAAGAACTTGTGGTTCTCCAGATGTTTGCTTGCTCGCTCGCTCGCGCGCGCGCTCTCTCTCTCTCACACACACACAGTTTTATATACTGTTCATTTAGCCAGAAGCTCTCAGAATGGTTGGTATATAGCTCCCATGATTCCACAACATTGGCTTTGCTGGCAAGGTCTAATGGGAGTTGGAAGCCAAAACATCTGAAGGCCCACAAATTGCCTCTCAGTTTAAATACAATGTCATTCTAGATATGGGAGCATTCTGAAAAAGCCATGTCATGTGTAGAGTGATTTTAAAATCAGAAAACGGGGGGCTGTAGAACTACCATCTTGTGGCTTCACTTCTGTACCTTACCTTACTAATTTGCACTTTATTCAAAATGTGCAGGCAAGAGTGGCTTGTTTGTTGAT